GAAACAAGCGTTAAAAAACACGTTTTATTATACGACGAATCAATAAAATGTATGTTCGATGTGGACAATAAATATTTTATATGCTGTGGAACAGATGTATTAAATTTACGATCGGTAGAATCTCTTTATTTTTCCCTGAATGTCTCTGAATTGCAATCAACTTTGATTTTCGTCGTTTAATGGAATTTTCATTATTGAATTAACGTACAACTATTAATCAAAAACAATATTTTTTATATTTTACGGTCTTTTTTTTTGAAATAACATTTTGCAATTACATCATTGTTTACGACCGATGTTATTCTATATTATATATATATCATTATTATTAGACATTGTTTCTAAAATTTCATGAAATTTTAATTAAATCATTTTTTTTAGAAAATGGCTACATTCAGAAAAATTTCTGTTAGATTTGTATCAACACTACTTATGTAAAGTAGTTTACAAATTATTCGATTCAAATTAGCATTAATTATTGACCAAGTAATATATAGCTTCCTTTGTACTTTCTCACTCTGTTGCTTTATCTTCGTGATTTCCCCGCTGTCTTCATCAATGATTGCAGTGCAGAGAAGAGAGAGAAATATCTGTTCTCATTATATCTAATACCAAATTATGATATTTATGATACCTCTTAAACCAATATCATGCGATGACATAATATTTTTGAATAACTTATTGTCTTTCTATAATATTTGTTTCGTTAGCATTTGAAAATGACGTAGATTTTGTTTTAATTACAGAAATTAAATAGCGAAAGCAAAAAAAGTAAAAGGAAAAGAGAAAGATAGTAAGAACCTCTTCAACCGGCATATTGATCTACAAGCAAAGTAACTTCCAAAAGAAGTATCAATATCATATATGCACCTTTATCTTGCGAATCCACTTTTACGACCATTTACGATTTTACTCCTCTCTCAACGAACTAACCTAACTTCGCGATACTCCCTCATGAAACTCCGCTATTTTCTTGATACGTCAGGGAAACTTAGGAATTTATGAAAGGAATCGATTTCTGGTCAACACGCGCAGATTTATTCAAAAATCAATTAGTTAAGTTTAACATAGGATATAGTTATAATTGTGTCCTTTTACTTCTCCTTTTACAAGTTCTGAATTACTTGTCTACGAACATCTCTTTCTTACACCTAGCATCAAAGATTTCGTGTCTTTTAATTCGCTTTTTTGGGAGTTAATAGCACACGATTTGTGTTTTTCTGAATAGGTTACCCATCCATTTTACTAACTATTGTCCATATTGCTTGACTGTAGTGATAAGAATTAGTATTCTAACATGGCCTAAACATAGATATTACGTAAATATTATAACATCTTATAATGACAATAGTAATAATAGTCTAAAGCAGTTTTAAGTATACAATTTTGAATAAAATTGTAATAATAAATGAAGGAATCTATAATATTTGTTCTTAAATGATTCTCGTTTCAATAATTTCGAATATAAGAATTGTTATATATCGTTGGATTATATGAAGAATTTCTATATGTAGTTATTTTGAAATGAAGATATTGACGGATTTTATTTAGAATAACGAAAACTGCTAAAGCGTTTCATACGCGCTTTACGAGCCCTCAGGTAGTTTTTGTATACGCAAGCACGTACGTGTTTACGGTAGAATCTTTCTTCCCTTTATCTATACTACGTTCTATGTTTCTCTTAACGTATCTTTTAACGTTAATATTAACTTTAACGTACCAATTGTTCTTTCTTTCGCATTCTCACGTACGATCATAAAACGACATGTCGTGCCAAATGTGTCTATGTTACGCATTTGTCGCGACACAGTACACAACAACTCGGTACATTATGCAAAAGTTCTTCGAAAACGTTTAACTATTGACGTCAAAATGGTTATAAAAAAACATCTTAAGAACGATTAACTTTGAACATGATACGAATTTCAATCATTCAAGAATTCAATCATACAAATAACACGTATATGAATACATTTTAATTAATACAATAATAGGAGCAAGTTTAAATGAAATTAATCGTCTAATTTGTATCAAATATTGTATTTTATACTTGCATTTATATTTAATACTTTGTAACGATCGTACTATTTGTTGTATCACACAATTACTTTGTTTAACTGTCTCGTATATTTGAACAAAATTAATAGACTAGTCATTAAATTCTTTTCAATCTATAATTTATACTTTCACGTATGTTTATAGATATTTACAATATATATATATATAAGCATCTTTTCCAAGATGAGATAATGACTGTTGTTTTTTCAAACTTTATCTAGATGACTAGAATGTTAAGGCGGGCACTGACTCTTTAGTCTCAGCTCTTAATAAATCTCTATCGAATATTATCCTGAATGACTAATGTTTATAGAATGGGTGTCTTATTTAGACTTATATTTATTCGAAAGGTACTCTAACGTCTCAGATTTAGAAAATAAAATATATTTTTGTTATCCTAGTAAATAGATTCTCACTTACTAAAATATGTCAATTTTAAGGAATAAATGTAAGACTTCGAGTTCAAATGAGACTACTTCAAATACCTAATCAATTTTCTTAATAGATATTTATGTCATAAGTCCGTAAAGTGGCGGTTTTCTGACAGCGACGATATTTCGATATGAGCTTAAGGTTTGTGGCGGGAAGGTTCAAAACGGGCGTAATTTTAACGTCCTCGGCTTCACTTTGGACGGAAATTTACGCTCGTTTTCGAAAAAAAGTCGTTGTCAAAATCGCCACTAAACAGCCAAATGACATACAATATTTTTTGTCATTATCGCTCCATAAGTTTAACTTTTGAGGGATAGGAGGCAAATAATGACATATTTAAATTTTATGAAGTTTCATAAGGGCAAAAAAACTAATTTTTTTCAATCAATCACTTGTAGGTAAATATAGATATTTCTTAAACAAATAATTCACTATGTTGTATAACTTGTTTTAAAAAATACGCTAATTATTCACTTGTATCGTGTATTTATTGTTAATAAAATGGCGTGATTGCATATATGTAATACTCTTATATTGCTAGCGGGATAGGGAGAGTTACAGTAAACATTACGGTGCAGACATATTTGCGTCTGTCTCACTTATCACAAGTTGAGTCTAGTGCGCATGATCGTGAATGCACAAATCACGAACAAATCATACACAAATTTAGTAATGATAAATAAATTTTAAGCTGCGAAAGGGAGGCGGCTTGCCCTTCTCCACTTGCCATTACAGACGCGACGCTTGCGCACGACGCTCAAAATATAAAAAAGAGATAGAAGTAGTCATTTGCTGTCTCACTTCGTCGGTGACACTTCCACTTACGGCCGCTAGCAATATAGGAGTATTATATACATGCGTAGTTGTTATTTTATTAACATTAGGTCCGCTTCGTAATAAACTGCCAACAGAGAAATAATTAGCGCCACTCAATAGTAACTAAGTTTAAAATTTACTCAAAATCATCGGTCGGTACACTAGAATGTGACTTTTTTTTATAATCTCTCTCAATTCCGTCTAGGTGTACACGAAAAGTACGTAAAAAAGGGGGGAGGTAAACTTCAAGGCCTAGGCCGTAAAAAAAAGACAGTATGATAGAGTCTCTAGAAAAGAGTTCCTTTTATGGACGCCACCCAGCGCTCAAAAGTTGAACTTTTGGAGCGAGTATAACGAAAAATATGTATATGTTAATATTAAAGTGTATAGTTCACAGTTAAGTAATTCATGAAATAACTGGGTGTTACTTGAAATAACTACTCGTTTTAGAGAAAGCACATAGTTGAACAGAATTTTACTATACATTTTAACTAACAATAAGTATTTTATAAAATAACTAAGTAATATATAAATTCACGAGAAAATGATAAGTAAAGTATGCAATTGAAATTAGATTTTTTCTTAAAATCTGTTTTTCTTTCTACAATAATGTTCATAGTTATCCATTTATATTTCTTACTGCACCTTGAAAATAAATGTTTTATTAATCGTGCTGTTTTATCGAATTAAATCTACTGAGCAAATGTCAATTTGATTTTATAACTTGCCTCTCATGAATTCATATATTACCTTGTTTAAAATAAATAATCCTACAATATTTCATACTTCAACTACTCAGTATAAAACAACAACTAGTTTTTTCATGAATTAATGGATTTCACTCTTGTAACGTGTTCATTAGATCTTTTATCTAAATAAATACAAATGATTATGGTATTCTTCAATAATTAATCTTACAATGCAACGTATAGTAAGATTATCATTGTGTATAATGATCTTTTGTGAATAAACATCTATCCAATTATAGAATGTATGAAATAAAAGAGTCTCTCATAATATCAAGAAAACAGACCACCTTCGGCGAACACCTCTGGCGGTGGCACTAGCAGCGTTGCTGACGCGCACGCTATGCTACGTTCCCCTTCTCGTATGTTCATTGAGTTCCCACCACCCGTAGAAGGCTCCCCCACTACTGATACTCGATCCTTACTAGCTCGTCATGCACTTCGTCGACGTGCCACAGCTACCAGTAGTGCTGTCAGATCGTGGGTAAATCTTACCCTCTCCCTGTGCCACTGGGATTACACACAATGAAAGTTTTCCATGTCCGTGTGTTTGGGATGTCGAGGAAAGCCGAGTGTAACCGAAGATGGCGGGCACGCCGGAGTGGTACACTATGAAAGCGACTCGTGTCCATGTGTTCGGAC